CCCGTGTATGTGGCGCCCTTCCCCGATCGCGAGGCCATCGGGGTCGATGCCTTTCGACTGGACTGGTCGAGTTGGGGGTTCCTGTACCTCTTTCCCCCGGTTCGGCTGTTACTTTAGGTCCTGACTCGCTTGGAGACTTACCAGGGGGGAGTTGTCCTTCTGGCCCCTTGGTGGCCGGCCCAGCCTTGGTATCAGGCGCTGCTTGCCCGGTGTCCGGACCCGAGGGTTTTTTCCGCGGCTCCGCCTCTTTCAGCAGATCGGGCCGGTACGTCACGTGGCTGGTTCGATCTTCTCCTCGAGTCTTTGCGTATGGCTTTTTTGACTCGAGTCTGTCATCATCTATATGGTGATCAGGTGGCCTCTTTGTTGGTGTCCCACCTGAGGGCTTCTTCTCGGCGATAGTATGAAGTTTCCTGGCGGTCCTTCTGTTTCTTTTTGCGTCTTCGTCGTGTTAGTTCGTTGTCTGTTCGGGTGGTCTTGTCCTTTCTCTCTTGGTTGTTTCAGGACCGTCATCTTATGCCTAACACTGTCGCCTCGTATCGTGCGGCGCTGGTGGAGCCGCTTCAGCTTGCCTTCAGTATCGATGTTACGTCTGCGCCATTTCGCAAGCTGTCTCATGGCTTGTTTTACCTCCGTCCTGCTCATGCGCCACCTGAGCAGTCCTGGTCTTTGGACAGAGTGCTCGCTTACCTTTCGTCTCCTTGTTTCGTTGTGGCCCCTTTGGTCCGGGATTGTTTCTCCAAGTCTCTTTTCTTGTTGGCATTAGCCTCTGGGGGTCAGGTAGGGGAGCTTCATGCTCTCCTCCGGCGCAGGGGTTTCTGCTCTTTTGGTCGTGGAGATTGTTTTGTTTGCTTGCAGCCGTCTCCTTCTTTTCTGGCAAAGAATGAGACTGCTGTGTTCCGGAGGGGTCCGTGGGTGGTTGATGTTTGGTTAGTATGGCCGGGGGGGGCATCATGTTTTGTGTCCGGATACGGCGCTTCGCCGTTATTTGCACGCCACGGCTTCTGTGTCCTGGGACGCACTTTGGGTTGATCCGATTTCCCTTCATCCCTGTTCGCGGGTTTGGGTCTCCCAGGTCGTCCGCAGGGTTATCAAGTTCAGCCAGCCTGCAGTCTGTCCCCGTGCTCATGACGTCCGTAAGTTCGCATCTCTTTCTGCCATCTTTGGGAATATGTCTTGCTCTGATATTCGGGCGTGGGGTTTTTGGCGGTCGAACAGGATCCTGGCTGCTTGTTACCTCGTGAATGTCCCTGGGCCCTGTCGGGCCTGTGTTGCTTTGGGTCGGCGGTTGCATCCAGTTGTCTCAACTTTGAGTTGAGGAGTGAGCGACGGCCGCCTCCTGGGTAAGTCCCTCTTTTTCTGTCTGTGGGTAGTTAGCTCCGGGGAGCCGACGGGGCTCCCCCCCCCCAGAAAACCAGCGTCGAATGTAAAGAAACGCCATTCGGGGTGTGACTCGGTGAGGCTCGCTCTGTTTGCTCATGCCTGGTCCCATGATTTGTGGGCCTTTCGGGTCATTTTGAGCAGCCTGCGGTGGCGTTGGAACCTCCTCTTTCGGGGGCTTTGGGGCTTGTGGGGCAGGCCTCTTCTCCTGCACTCTTTCGGGACATCTCGGAGTGGGTGTGCTTGGGCATGGTCGAAATGACAACATCCCTCAGGTGGGTTTCCCATCTGTTTCCAGTCCCCAAACGGGACTGTGCGGACATGCAGTTCATTCTGGACTTTTCCCTCTGAACCCCTAGTATTGCCCCTCCTTTCGGATGACTACTCTGTCCCAGGTCCAGCTTCTTTTCGCACCAGGTGCTTGGATGGTGTCCCTGTACCTCCGGGACACTTATTGGCACGTCCCAATTCATTTGGGGTTTAGGGACTGGCTTGGTTTTGTTGTGGGAAGTCAGGGTTACCGCTTTCATTGCCTTCCTTTCGACTTGAATCTGGCCCCTTGAATTTTCACACCCCTTTCCCGGGTCGTGGTAGTCTGTCTGCATCTCTTAGGGGTTTGGGTTCTCTCCTATCTCAACGACTGACTGGTCTGGGCTCCCAGCCAGTCCTCGTGTCTGCTCGTCAGGGATTTGGTTCTTTCCCAGCTCACCGGGTTTGAATTCCTGGTGAACTGGAGGAAGTCCCATCTATTACCCTTTCAGGTTTGGTCTTGGCTGGGTCTTGTGTAAGACTCTCGGACCGCTTTCTTGTCTCTCCCTCCGGAGTCTCTGCTTTGGCTGCAGTCCCGCCTTCGCCTATTTCTGGGGGCTCCCGTGTCACCCGGTGGTTGCTCGAGGGGTTGTGGGGGAGCCTGAACCTTGCTGTGATTATCTACCCACTGGCTAGGATTTGGCTTTGTCGGCTGTTCTGGTTCCTTAAGGGACTTCCCTTCCGCTTCTCTCGCGATCGCTGGGTTCGGCCTCTGGGTGCCTTGCTTTGGCTGCTGCATCACCGGCTTCCTCTATAAGAATTTTGAGGTTCAGTGCCATGGCACCTACCCAAGCCCTCGTTCGATGTATTCATGGACCCGTCATATTTTGGCTGGTGATTTGTGACCAGTGCTCACAACGCCGGCCAGAGGCGGTGGGGTCCGGTCTTCCATCAGGCACACAGCATGGTGCGAGAGTTTGCGGCAATGTGGATATCATTCACGGATAAACGATCCGGCTCCATTCAGACTGCTCCTCGGTGGTTTATTGCCTGAACCGAGGGGGTTTGATGCAATCTTTGGCTCTTTGGGGCTGGTTGCTTCAGGGGGGACTCATCTGCTGAGATCTCGGGGTTTGGCTCTCCTGGCCATTAACGGTTACCTGTACCTCTTCCCCATGGTTCAGATGTTGTTCCAGGTCCTAGCTCGTTTGGAGACTTACCGGGGGAGAGTAGTTCTCTTGGCTTCTTGGTGCCAAGGAGCCAGTGCCTGAAACCCAGGCTGGGCCAGCCCAGCCTTGGTTTCGGGCGCTGCTTTCTTGGTGTCTGAACCTAGGAGTCTTCACACGGCTCCTCCTCTTTCAGCAGATCGGTCTAGTCTGTTACGTGCCTGGTTCGTTCTTCTCCTTGAGTCTTCACGCCTGATCTTTCTGACTAGTCTATCATCTCTTGTATGATGAGCTGGGGGTTTCATTGATGGTGTCCCACCTGCGTGCTTCCTCTCGGCAGCAGTCTGAAGTTTCCTGGTGGTCCTTGCATTTCTTCTTGTCCCTAGGGTTGTCTTGTCCTTTCTCTTGTGGTTGTTTCAGGACCATCATCTTATGCCGAATATTGTCGCCTCATATCGTATAGCACTGGTGGAGCCTCTGCAGCTTGCGCTCGACATTGATTTTACTTCAGCGCCGTTTTGTAAGCTGTCTCATGCATCGTTTCATCTCCGGCCTGCTCATGCGCCGTCTGAGCCATTCTGGTCTTTGGACCAGGTGCTTTCTTATTTCTCTTCCCCTCAGTTTGTAGTGGGGCCCCTTCGGTTCAAGATTGTTTCTCCAAAGCTCTTTTCCTGTTGGCATTGGCCTCTGGGGGTTGGGTTGGGGAGCTTCATACTCTTCTCCGGTACAGGAGTATCTGCTCCTTTGGTCCTGGTGATAGGTTTGTTCGGTTGCAGCTGTCTCCTTATTTTCTGGCGAAGAATGAAATTGCTGCTTTCTGGTGGGGTCCTTGGGTTGTTGATGCTCGATTGGTCAGGCTGGGGTTGCAACATGTGTTGTGTCCAGTTGCGGCTCTTTGCCGGTTTTTGTGCGCCACGGCCTCCATGACTGAGGACGCAATTTGGGTTGACCCAGTTTCCCTTGTTCCTTGTTGCTGGGTTCAGGTCTCCCAGGTCGTCTGCATGGTTATTCGGTCCAGCCAGCCTGTGGTCTATCCTCGTTCCCACGACATTCGTAAGTTTGCTGCACTGGCTGCTGTGTTCGGTGACATGTCTTGAACTGACACTCAGGCACGGGGTTTTTTGGAGGTCGAAGAGGGTCCTGGTCGCTCGCTACCTTGTCAGTGTTCTGGGGCCTGGTCAGGCCTGTGTTGCATTGGGTCAGCGGTTGCAGCCAGTTGTCTTGACTTCCCGTTGAGGTGTGAGTGCCGACCGCCTCCCGGGTAAGTTCCTCTTATTTTTGTCTTTTGGTAAATAGCTCCGGGGAGCTGAAGGGGCTCCCCCCAGAAAACCAGCATTGAATGTAATGAAACGCCATTTTCTGGGTGAGATCCAGACTACCCAGCAACCCTCCCGCCTTCCCTCCGGTCGGAGGTTTTTCTTTTTCGCGGTTTTTAACATCCAGCCTTGGAACTGCAGGGTGGATAGCTGGCATAAGAGTCTGGCACTCCCCCCCCCCCTTTCCCTCTCCTAGGGAGGGTGGAGTTGCGCAGACAGCGGCACAGTGGAGTGGCAATGTCATGCTGGTTTGCTCGTTTTCATTTGGGACTTCTGTCCACTAGTTCGGCTTTCAGTAGCAATATTTTAACCAGAATAGGGGTTTGTTTTGGGGCACTTCTGGGTGCCTGACCCAGTCGATGGCAGACATGGAATGCTTCCAACCACATGTTGGGTTTCAATGGGTCATTGCTCCTCGTGCCTCTCTGAGGGTGCTAGGTTCTGGCTCGTGGTCCCCGTTAGGCCTAAGAATTCCATTCACATGACTGATGCCAAAGGATAATATATCGATATCAACCTGGATAGCTCTGGGGAGCCTCCGGGTCTCGCCCAGAAAATGACGTTTCATTACATTCAACGCTAGTTTTTTTGCCTGGTTCATGGAGAAGTCCTGCCTAGTTCCACACTAGGCTATGCCTAGGGTGTGGTGGTGGTACTCCTCTGTTGCTCCTGAGGCTTTACACCGGCTGCTTGCAGTTGGTTTCCCTGCATCGACAGAACTTACTGGCTTAGCTGGTCCCAGTGTCTGGGCTTCCTGTTTGGCTCATTTACCCTACAGGGAGTACCATGGCTCGGTTGTACCATGGATACTTTTTCCGAGCCCACTCTCGCCTCGTGCAACTTTGAGGGTTGTTTGTCTCTCCTTCCTCAGGGAGATGATCATCTGTACTTCCTCCGCCATGCTGCCTGTTGGGTCGGGGACATCTACGACCCAGAGTCTTGCAGGACTTTCTTCCTGCTTGTGCTCCAATTTTCTCATCGCTAATCTGATATTCTCAGGGATCAGGCAGCTGCCACATTGCATGAGCGGTTCTCTCTATTGCAATGAGCCAGGTTGGTTGTTTATTTGGAATCCCCAGAGCTGCCCCGCTTGGGTTTCAGGGACTCGGATTTAGGGGCACTGGTCACGTCAGCCTTTGTATCTGGTCGCTTTGGGTAGTTCTTCTGCTGAATTTTCGGGGATTATCTCTCCACGCCGTTCACAATTCAGGGAGTGTCCAATACCCTGGCAGACAGCCTGTCTTGCTTCATTCCTCTTTTGATGAAATGCTGCTTCCTTCCTTTGGCTTTGCTGAATGTACGGCTGCACTGAGGTGGGCCTCTTTGCGTTGGCATGGTCTCGGCGTCTCCCATTGTATGCGGCGCCATTCCCTGACTGCGAGGCCCTCCGGGTAGATGCTTTTTGGCAGGACTGGTTGAGGTGGGGGTTCCTGTACAGCTTTTCCCCCAGTCCAGTCCAACTGTTGCTCCCGGTTCTGGCTCAGCTCGAATCTTATCAGGGTAGGGTACTCTTCCTGCCCCATGGTGGCCACCCCCAGCTTTGGATTCAGATGCTGCTTGCTCAGTATCCGAACACGGAGGTTTTTCCGCAGCTCCTCTTTTTTCAGCCAGTGAGGTACCTCGCTGGTTCGACTTACTTTCACGCAATACACGTCTGGTAGTTCTGACTCGTGTATATTGTCATTTGTATGATGATCAGGGGACTTCTTTGATGGTGTCCCACCTGCGGTCGTCTTCTCAGCGACAGTACAAAGTTTCTTTGCAGGCTTTCCATCATTTTCTTTCTCTTCGTCGAGTTTAGTTGGTGTCAGACAGAGTTGTCTTGGCCTTTCTTCCTTAACTTTTCCATTCATTCATGACTTCCTGGATCAGCATTCAATGTAGAATACTGTCGCTTCTTATTGTGCAGCATTGGTGGAGCTGCTGCAGTTTGCGTCTGGGATGGACGTCACTTCTGCCCCATTCTGAAAGCTATCTTGTGCAATTTTTTCTCCTCCGGCCTGCTCATGGGCCACCTGAGCCTTCTTGGTCTCTGGAATGGATTCTTTCCTTTCTTTCTCTTCCCTTGACCTCTTTGGTTTGAGACTAAAGCTTTGTTTTTGTTGGCTTTGGCCTCTGGGGGTTGGGTTGGGGAAGCTTCATGCTCTTGTCCGATGCCGGGGGTTTTGTTTGTTTGGTTCTAGTGGTTATTTTGCTTGTTTGCAGCAGAGTCCTTCTTTTCTAGAGAAGAATGAGACTGTGGGCTTCCGAAGGGGTCTGTTGGTTGTGGATGCTTGATTAGCTAGGCCGGGGTGCATCACGTTCTGTGTCCGGTGGTGGCTTTACACTGCTAACTGCGGGCCACTGGTTCTGTGGCGGTGGATGCCCTCCAGTCCGCAGCTTTCATCATTCAAGAACTGAGGGGTGGGCAGCTGGGCTCACCCGAATTGGATCCCCCCTTCCTCCCACAGGGGAAAATGAGCTAACACAAATTGTTGTGTTAATGAGCGGGAGCTAGTTGAGTGAAGTGTTGCTTGTTTGTTTTCTTTATGGGGGAGTTCTTTTGCTCCTTTCAGACCGTAGGTCTCATTTTTCAACCAGACAGTGGTCTGTTTTGTTTTGCCTACCTTTCTGGATGCCCTGGTTGAAAGCAAGTATGATATACTTCAAACATAGAGAGTTCATAGGCCATTACTCCCTGCGGTACTCTGAGGGCACCAGGTTCTAACGCTGGTCCCTGGTAGGCAACTAGAAGTCTGCGACTGATGACCCTAAATAGGATAGCACTATATTAGTGGGATAGCCACAAGGAGCCTTCGGGGCTCACCCAGAAAATGATGTTTCATTGCATTCCACTCTGGTTTTTGTGGGGAGCCCCTACGGCTCCCTGGAGCTTATCTGGCCAATGTATGTTTTATTAGACCGGGACAACACCAGAACCTGGCCCCTTCAGAGAGGTTTCAGGAAGCAATGGCCCTGGAAAACCCCCTTGTGGTCAGGGGTTTTCATTATCTGCCATCGACCGGGTTTAGGCACCCAGAAAGGTAGGCATAACAAAATAAACCCCACGTGGTAAGAAACTAAAACAAAAACTAAAACAGAGAGATAGACACTCCCTACAATCCCAAGGAAACAAGCAAATAAGCAAACATCACACTTTATTGCCGCACCGCCTTCCCATCCAAAAAGGGGAAGGGAAGGGGGGGCCCCAAACCTCAAATCGCTGGCTGCCAAGCACCAGTTCGTAAGCTAATGTCAACTGGGACAGACGCTTCTCTGGCCTCAAATTCCTGTGCTGTGTTTGCCTGTGTGGCGTTCTCTGCTGTCTTGTCGTGGTGTGTTGTGGCCAGGAATATCTCATCAGTGCCGGGGCTGCATGCGCTTAGGGATTTCCTTCCCTAGGCAGCCTTGCCTAGGGAAGGAAGCATTTGCCTTGGGGTCAGCTGGGGCTTGGGGCACTTGCTTGGCCTTGGGTAGAGAGTGGTGTTGTGCTGGTTAGGGCATCAAGGTGTTGCACGACCTGCCACCTACGCGGCGACTGGTTCCTGTTGCCTCTAGGGACGGTATACTTTTGCAGGGTTTTTCTTTTGTTTTTGTTTGCCTGGTGGGGTCTATCACGTGGGACTATAGTTGCCCTAATATTGTTTTGGTGGCCCTCTGCTAGGTTCCCCGTACTTGTACACACCACAAGGGTTTCAGTGTTGTCCTCTACCCCTTGTTAGTTTTTTTTTTAACCGGTTAGCAGCACCTAGCTTGGGCTTCCCGTAGTTGTTATCCTAGGGGCCCTAGAAACCCCTGTCGGGGCTCGGTGGACCCATGGATGTGTCTCCTGAGTTCCATGTGATGCATGCACAAGGCTGATGTGCCTTGTGCTATTTTGAAGATTACTGTGTGCCCTTGTCTCAGGGTGACAGTCACCTATTTTGCCTCCGTCATGCTGCCTGTTGGGTCAACGACACCTTTGACCTCGAGTCCTGCTAGTCGTGTTCTCTGCTCGTGTTCCAGTTTTATTCTGACGACGTTGCTGTTAGGATACAGGCAGCATCCGTGTTGTATGTTAGGTTTAGGTTACTGCAACACCCCGTTTTGGTTTTAGGGACCCGAACCTGGGGGCATTAGTCGCTTCGACTTTGGCTCCTTCCACGCTCCCTGGTCCTTCCCCTGTGTTTCATCCTGCACCTTCCCCCCTGTGTCTGGCTCCCAAACGTCTGAGGGTTTCGGTTTCGGCACAGGGTTTAGTTGGTAATGAGACTTGGGCGACTTCGAGGGCTGCCTCATTCGGGTCGCAAACGGAGGCATTTGAGTCGGTTTCTTCTGCCGAGGTTTTTGGGTCCAACCAGCAGACCCCCTTCTTTTCTGCCTTTTCCCAGGACTCTGCCTTTTCTTCCGAGGTAAAGGGTTTGGAGGACGGCTCTGCCCCGGGTCCTGACATGAGGGATCTTGGGACTGGTGGAGGAGTCGACCTGAGGGCCTTGGGCCCCTTTTGACCCCGTTTGGGTGCTTTTGTTTTCCTTGTGGGGCTTATTGTTGCAGGGGGAGGGGGTTTTCTTACCCCACGTCCCTGTATGAGTATGATTTGGGTTCGGCTCCTCCCCGGGTTTGGTTCCTGGCTCCTTTGGGTACGTCGGCTCCATCTTTCCAGAGGTTTTCTACTTCCCGTATCTCCTCAAAGGAGGCTTGGGAGGCTCTTGCTGCATACCTTTTACGAGACCCGGTTTATGCCTCTGTGATGGATCCGTCCTCTTTCGAGTTCGGGTCTTCTTCCCGCTTTTGGGTGCGTTTGGAGGTTCCATAGTCTGCCTGGCTGGCAGATTGCCCATTCTTTTCGTTGCGAGCGTGGCATGGGTTCTGTCAGACCTGTACGCTTGATTGGCGTGAAACTTCTACGGTTCTGCAGGTTTACTGGGGGGGGGGGCAAGTTTGAGCACCTTAATGCGTGCTTGTTCGCCCCCGTGCTTTCTCGGGAGGTTGGCCTTTTCCAGCTTCACGTGCAGGTTCCTCTTCTTTCGGCATTGTTGGTTGCGGAGGATTTGTGCGCCAGTGGGTATTTAGCTTTGGTCTTACGTTTTTTTTTCCCTTCTCGAGCTGTCTTCTTCCTGGCTTGAGGAGGATGTGGAAGCATTGAGTAATGGGTCTTCATCTGGGGTGCTGACTTCGGTAACTAGGGCGTTGGCTGCACTGTTGAAGCTCTTTGCGCCCATCCTGAAGGAGGCGGTGTCTCTGGTGTCTCGCCTCGCGTGCTGTCAGGCTGTGCTTGCCCTCTCTTTGGAATCCGCTTGGGCCCTGGCTCTTAGGTTTTCTTCTGCATTTTGTCCGTTGCTGTTTGCAGAGGCTGCAGTCTCTCAGTTTCTGCAAGCGGCTTCGTCTAGTTGTCGTCCTATGTCGGACTTGTTGGTTCTCCGCCCATCCTATGTCGGGGCGGTCGTTTTTGGTCATCTCAGAGGAGTCGTGCCAGGGTTCAGGGTTCCGCTGGTCGAGGTGGGCCATTGGTGCCAGTTTCTGAGCCGACATTGCCTTCAGTGCCGGCGTCGTCTGGTCGGAGCGGTGATCGCCCTGTTCGACATTTGGTTTCTCGTAAGGGGCGTTAGCTCTTTTGCGGTTCGCCCTATTAACGGGGTGATGGGGGGAGGCTTGCTCTGTTTGCCCACGCTTGGTCCCCCGATTTGTGGGCCTTTTCGGTAGTGTCATCTGGCCTGCGGTGGCGTTGGGGGGGGTTCGAGGTTAACGGGGCAGGCTGCTTCTCCTGCACTTCGTCAAGTCATCTTGGAGGGAAGCGTTTGGACGTGCACGAAATGACCCCATCCCTCCGGTGGGTTTCCCGCCTGTTTCCAGTGCCGAAACGGGACTGTGCGGATCTGAGGTTCATTCTGGACTTGTCCCGTCTGAAACCCTGGATTCCTTGCCCCTCCTTTCGGATGGTGTCCCTGGACCTCATGGTCGCTTATTGGCGCGTTTCTATTCATCCGGGGTTCAGGGACTGATTAGGTTTCATGGTGGGGT